CAGGACTAGAACAAGCCCACACGATAGAAATACCTCAGTAGAACTAAAACAAGGTAGTTGAACCGAGTCTGTCCATTCCAGGAATACAAAACTGGTTGTTTATCCGAGGAGCTGCAACAGCCTGAATTTGGCCGAACACCCACATCACACAACAGCTTATTTACTTTTGCTATCCATCTGGAGGAAGCAATGCACATTCTCAGGAAAACATTCAACTTCTTTGATATAATTCCAGATGCTCCCTGTTGATTTCCACTGTTCCGGTCCACAGACAAGGAGGGAATAGAAAGTCTGGGAGAGAAGGGGCTGGAAGGGGCAAACTGAGGGAGAGGTCTGCAAAATCACAAAGCGGCCGCCTACGGCCAGCACTGACCTGCTATTCCCAGATCCAGCAACACTAAAGCTAAGAGGCACTTAGCAAAACTAGCAGGGGATCTGTTTAAGACAGATAAAGCCCTCCCTTATGGGAGATGCAAATTTTGGGAATTTGCTGCCACCTGAGGCTGCACAGGCAGATGGTATCAGCAGGTTGGAGGAGGATTAGGCAAACCTGTGGATAAGCCCATGGGTGGCAAAAGGACTAGGCAGGGCTGGCCTCAGCGGCCCTACGGGAGGTGGGGAAGGACCACAGAAAGCGGCCAGCCCGGCGCGCTCTTGCAAAACACCACCTTTTATGGCCACTGTCTGTATTAACTTCTCCTCTTAGGCCTGACTATAAGAAATCCCCTCTAGGAAGGGAGCCAGGGAAAAGAAAACAGAAGAGTTAAAAAACAGCATCAGGGACAACAGATGGAAATAGGGCATGAGAGTCAAAGGATCAGGAATGAAGGACTAAGGAACTGGACGAACAGCACTCACAACATCCCTGACTACAGCCATAGCACTTAACAAAATTCTACCAATAAAACTAAAACGTGACTATAAAACCGAGCAGCTTCAGTCTCAAATGAGCTGGTGCCTTCTTCAGAACCTTATCTGCACACTTGGGCTTTGCAGACTTCTCTGTAGCTAACTAACAGGGCTCGGGGAGAGCACATAAATCCTGGCACGCAGCAGCAGCAGAAGTAGCACCGCGTAACAAGTCACAGTGCAAGAAAAGGTAGGATCGCCCAACCACGAGTACAAAAAGAGACACTTGTCAAAGTAATTTCATTACATTTGAGAAGAATCACGAACTATGAGCAAAAAGGAGATATAAGTATTGAATAATTCACAGAAGAGCACTTATTAATTCAGGTGTAGGATATAAATTTTATATAGAAAGAATAAATGAAAGCAGGGGTGTTCTGGAGGCATTTGTAATGCCTAAACTTCCATTTTGTGCTTGCATGCCCAGAGGTGAAACCATTTATAGCCATGTCTCGGGCTGATGATACATAGAGCTCACTAGAACGTTTCCGTGAATCATTTCTTCCACGCTGAAACATTTCACTGCCTCTGAAGAAATTTTCAACAACTCTGACACACACAGGAGACTTACTTATCACTTCCAGAGGCAGAACGAGTGCCTAGCTGGCACCGCTAAATTCTTGCTTCCTATCTAAAAATGCTCTTTTGAATACAGTTTGTTTCAGGAACTTACTCAGTACAAGGCGGAACAAAATAAAAGCCAAATGTGTAACAGCTGTTGTAGAAAGGGGCTGTCCTTCTCTATACACTTTCAGTAACACCAGATTTCCCTGCAAAACACAAAAAGCAGGACTGCTCTGAAGGCACTTTGATCCCACCTCAGCACAGCACATGAAACTCCTGTCTGAATTAATTTAAGATTTACACTTGCACAGTGCAGAGCTGCCACCACTCTGTCTCAGGGGCATTTTCATACATATGAGGCCAGCCCTTGTCCCGGGGTCTGGGCTTGGCTCCCTGCAGACTGTGATCATCGTGTCAGCGCAACCGGTCACAGCGCACGAGCCCGGGGTGGAAGTTTCCCGTGTGAAGGACAGTTGCCACGGGGCTTGCCAGGCCACAGCCCCGCGCAGCCCCTGCACCCAAGGAGCGTGTTTTACATAAGCAGGTCCCCTCCTGAGTGTCTTCTCTACCTCCAAAGATCTATCCTTGGGAGGGCAAGGGAGTCCAGACACTGCACCTGCCCACGGAGCCGCTTCTCGCCGTGCTGCTGCGCACAAATCGCAGCACAGCAACATCCCCGGTACTCCTCGGACGCCTGCCAGGGGCTGCTAAGCCCAGTGAGGAGCCCGATGGCGGCTGGCTGCTCCCAGGCCCGCCACGGAGCACACGGCGGGGCTGATAACCTAGCGCCAGGTACCGCCGTATGTTGGCCAATACGTCACTGCCAGGGTCCACGCACTAACCCCATGTTTATGCACTAACACCCGGGCTGATGCACCCCTCTGTGCTCCAGGGCACCTGTGGCTGGGGCAAGGCACCCGCAGTTGTGGGCACAGCCTGGCTGAAGCACCCAAGCTGTGGTGGGGCACCCGCTGGTGGACCGATGCACCCACACTTGCATGGCGTGCCCACGGCCCCGCCGGTGCAGCCGGGCCC